AAATATTTCCCAATAACAAAACAAATCTGTTTCCGATTTCATTTTGTTGTCGTTATACATTTATGGTAGGTTTCTGAGTTCTACAAATCTCCTAATTTCTCCAATTTAGCTCTCACACTAAAAATATCCGTCTTCAAGACTGCCTTGATGTAGTTAACATGCTCGTTGTTTTATGCTCTCAAAACCTTTTAAATTATTATCTCTCTTTCTGCCATTTAAATAATCCAATTACTAAATCATACTGAGAACTGAATAGCTGTTGAATTTCTCGATATGTATTTTACGTGTGAATATGAAAATGTGAACAATTTTGTCAAGTGTAATACTTGGTACGCTTCATCTATAAGAAAATATTTCAAAGTTCACTATTAAGAATGTAAATAAGTATTAACGTTTCTATTTTATCCGCTGTTCGTTTAGAGGCGCCACCTGTTGGTATCAGTTTTTACTTCTTCTTTTCTTGTATTTCTGTGATAAATTGCTGAAGCTCCTTATACAAAGCTAACCCTAGCGGGAGACGTCAGCGTAATCGATTTGGAGGGAAATCCAAATTCAACAACATCTTTAACTTTTTATTTCGTATTTCAACTATTTGACCATCAACGAAAAAAAAACACCATTATTAAAACAACCGAGATTAAAAATTTAACAACTCAGACTGATATATTATTATTTCAAACTTATCTTTATTGCAGCTTGCACGCCAGTATCAAAACAGTATAGTTTGATATTAAAAAAATAAAAATCGAATATGCTTTTACTTATATTATTGTGTGTTTTAGTTTGTTTTGAAATTCGCGCAAAACTACTCGAGGACAATCTGCGCTGACCGTCCACAATTTAGCAGTGATAAACTAGAGGGAAAGGAGCTAGTCAACACCACCCACCGCCAACTCTTAAGCTACTCTTTTACCAACAAATACTGGAATAAATTAATTGAGTAATAACTTGATATATGTGGGGCATATTCTTATAGAATAAATATCTATTTTATCAAAATACTGTTATGCTTTAATACAGTTACGTATTTGTATTACGTATCTCCTACTTACTGGTCACCCTAAATGCTATGTTATTTATAACTTTCCTATGATAAACTGAACAAAATATTTTATATTTCTCTTACATATGTTCATACGATAGTTTCACGATTTTTTAATAATATTTCTATTCCCTGTAGTACGATCATTGATATTTGTAAACATAAACAAATGTTTGTCTCGCTACAAACCATTAATCTACTACTAACTCAAAATTACCGTCGAACGAAGTGAGTCGAGTGCTTGTTCAACATCGCTCCTTAGTTTTTATTTCTAGGTTTGATACCGATCACGAAATCGAAAGGATTTTTTTTTCTTTTTTTTAACTAACTCAAATCGACGTTGTTCCTGAAAATTCATTTCTGCTGCGTCATATTCTAATTTGCGGAACTGTACAACATTTTGTGTTTTGCTTATAACTTTCATGTGCTCTTTTAAACATTCTTACTGTTTTATATACAGTTTTTAAACAATTTTCAGCGAGTATATCTGTTTAAAAAAATCTAAGTCGTATTTAGAGATGCTGGTAATGAACACTTTCTATAAACGTTAAGGAACTAAACACGATATCTATTGTTATACAGGGAGAGAGGAAATAATAATAAGTTAAAATGATTAATAGAATACATATATATAGAATTATCAACATAGCTGTGAACACAGTAACGTGAGTGAAGAGTTAATTACTTTTCCAAACTGCAATCGAACAGAAACATTTTGTCTAAAATAATCCAATTCAGTTATCTACAACAACAACAACAATAATAAAATCACAGCTTACAGGGGCGAAAAAAGATATATAAGAGTTTAAAATATAAAAAGACGTACAATTGTTGAAAAGTCTGTTTTATAAACCTGCATTCCCTAATATTCAATATCTATAAAATATATTTACACATACATCAATTTGATGAAAGTTAATAGATGATGTACACTTGACCTTGGAAACATAAACTTTTATATTTTATTAGCGTCGTTCCTTATCTGTCCATGAACTAATCTTGCATCATAGCGTTTAACTCTAAACTTACGAGGACCGAACCAGCAGGTTTTGGAAGAAACTAGGCTCATAAACAGTCAGTAACTAATCAACAATTTTCGAAAGTTTAGGTATTGAATATGGAACTTTAAAATCTATACATTAGCATAACTTTTACAATCTACAAGTAAACATCGACTAATAAACAGCGCCACCTATAAATCTTTATTTGAAATTCTAAAGAAATGAAAATAAAATAGTATAATGTGTTATGGATAGGTTTTGCTCTTTGGAAGTGGGTCAAATACAAGATGTAGAACGCCATCTGTAAAATATCTTATATACATATATATATATATCATTACATACATAAGAATTGAAGAAAAAAAGATATGTATAACATATTACAAATTCACAAAGTCAACTCTTATAATTATTTTATAGTAACCGTTTTATAATTTCGAGACTAAGAAAACCGTTTTTAGCACAATTACTCGTGTAAAAATATCTGAGCTTAATTAATTTGAAAAGTTTTGAATTAATTTTCCACGTCAAATATATATATAAATTGATATGACTAACTACTGGCTAATAAGTTCAGTAAAGCTAGTGCAACTCATTCCTTCAAAACCTTAAGACAAAAATAAATCACTAGAAGAATTTCATTCAGTTCTAGAAACCTACATACATTCGAATGATTTTTGACGTCCTTTCCAATAGAAAAAGTAGAATTGCGTGTATTTTCTTTTATTTCAATGAAAATAATGATGAAGAGCATAGAATAATATTTCTACGTTCATACTGTTCATCATTAGACTAAGTTTTTCCCACTTCTGAATCCGTTGCCTTCAATTAAATATATCATGGATCCTTATAACTGAATTTCTTTCTAGAGACCATTTTAAGGATAAAAAATAGATCCATTTTCTAATTTTAACTTCTTGATTTTTCTTTAATCGCTTTAATTCAATAATTTTTCGATTAACCAAAAATATTTTGAAACATTTAAACAGTAAGATAGTTATAGTGGATCTCTAAGGATAACTTGATTTTCAGTTTATCTATTATCATATCATTTCTGGAGAGTCTCCAGAGATAACTTGATTTCCAGTTTAACTATTGTCATGTCAGTTTTGAAGAGTCTCCAAGGTTAACTTGATTTTCAGATTAACTATTGTTGTATCATTTCTGGAGGGTCTCCTAAGATAACTATATTTTCAGTTTGAAAATTGCCATATCATATCTGGGGAGACTCCAAGGTTAACTTGATTTTCAGATTAACTATTGTTGTATCATTTCTGGAGGGTCTCCAAAGATAACTATATTTTCAGTTTGAAAATTGTCATATCATATCTGGGGAGTCTCCAAGGTTATCTTGATTTTCAGATTAACTAGTGTTGTATCGTTTCTAGGGAGTTTCCTAAGATAACTTTATTTTCAGTTTAAAAATTGTCATGTCAGTTCTGGAGAGTCTCCAAGGTTAAGTTGATTTTCAGATTAACTATTGTTGTATCATTTCTGAGGAGTTTCCTAAGATAACTATATTTTCAGTTTGAAAATTGCCATATCATATCTGGGGAGTCTCCAAGGTTATTTTGATTTTCAGGTTAACCATTGTCGTATCGTTTCTGGCGTTGTTTCGTATATTAATCGATGTTTTTCAAACTTTTAAAATTATGTATGCTGTTGATTGCCAAGTAGTAATGAATGAGATCTGCACCTGGTTAGCTTACAAAGTGCGTGTAGTTTTTGTGGTTTATTCAGGTTTATATTTATTTGAATTTTACGATCGTTATCGGTTTTTCAACATTATCTTAAACAAAATTATCAAATTAACCAATTACTGATTGCAAAGAGTATGTATGAAAGGTTATTTTTTCTTTCTCATTTTGTCATGCGAGATGTCAAAGCATTCAATAAAGCGACAGATAATAGCTCATAATATTTATTGTTCAACATGACAAATGTATGAACTAAGCCATGAGATAGGCCTACACAAAACGAGGTCCACGCCCAGGTGGACAGAATTACATCACAATAATACTCTGTTGGGTCTACTGTTTCACCTTTACATTATTTACACACTCAACTTTACGAAGAGGGTCTGACACGATTTAAAAGAACCAACTAAAACCGGTAAAAGGAAAAACAACAACAACACAATATTATTACTTTAATTCATCAAATGAGCATTTTTTTTTGTCTCTCAATAAGACGAAAAAATTAAACATATGTATAAACAAAAAAACTTATATTCACATCATAGTTAAACTGTACAAGACGTAAACGGGTCAAACAGATTGCACAAACCCGAATACGAAAATTCTTTAAACGTTTGATAAAAGCTGTTGAGATGTTAATAAAAAATGGAGTAAGAGCAAAAAAATGGAGTAATTTCATTACAATATTTCTGATTTAGGTTCAAGCGTTTTTATTCCTGCACAACAAGAATGGAATGAAAGAAACGTATTGGCTAGATAACATAAATCCAGCCATTTGTACTCCAAAATGTCCAAAAAAATCTAGATGATTCTAACAGCCTGTTCTTAAACGTTACAGACATTATGTATCTCACCGAGAACAACACTACAGATTATTAAGAGAGGGTACCTAGTAATAAATCAGTCATTTTATACTAACAATGCAAGCGTTACAGCGATTAACTAATAGTGGAGTTCTGCGTCCCGTCGCTAGGGGACACGCCACAGACACAAACGAAGCAATATCACTACAAACGTTTTAATCGCTTTCAGATGTCTAAGTAATTTTTCAGAGATGCCTACAAAATGGTAAGAAGATATTAGCATTACATATATATTGACACAGCCCTGAGATATGCACGTGCACGCTTCAAACACACACACACACACACTCATGCGCACACGATACGTTGAATAAAAGTAATTACCTAGAGCGGATAGTAGCTTCATACATTAAGATGTAGTTGTTGCACCAATAACTTAAACTGACTATAATGTCGGTATATATATATATATATTTATCTAAAGAGATATGACATATGTCTCACGTTTTCCTAAATGTTAGCCTTAACTTTTAGGATATCATTTCTGACGGTCATGCTTTGCTATTTTACAATTAATATTCTTAAAGAACGTTTGTTATTCACTAATTGTTTTCTTTCGTCATCCTCCATTTGAAATGAATGTCTTTTTTAACATTTTAAAGGGGTCTCATCTTCTTCCAAAACGTCTTTCACGATTCGTCAAAAAAGTTCTTTCAAAGACGTGGTACTCTTTACTCTTTATATTCCTTCTGCTGTAAATGTAATATTTTAATACATGGTTTTGGTTTTTCGATTTAAAAAAAAAAACTGTTTAGAAGACAAATAATTAAATTACCACTTGGGACTTCAAGGCAACACTACAGCTCACTATAGACAAACAAAATAAAAGAGATAAACATCAATTCTGATGAAGTTTTGAAGACTTGTGAACAACGCTCTGTTCACCATTTCCACGGCAACAATGGTTCACCAGACTTAAGAGCAAAAACAATAGGCGCGGCCAGAATGATAATATTATAAATAAGCAAAAAAAAAGTTTAGCTTTTTATTTTCTGCATATATTTATGAATAATTTGATGGTGTTGAACCCCATAGGTAGCTTCTTCAAAAACTGTACAACACTTGTTCTAAGGTGAAATCCACTCTGTGGGTCAGCAGGAGTGGGTGGGATGTGGGAAACAGGCATACGTCTAAAATATAAGAAGAATTAAGGTTACGTTTCACATCACTGAAATGTATAATAACATGCATAGAACCTAATTATTTTACAAAGAGAGCCAGATATAAACTCTATAACAATGTACTTAGTTCGAGAAATAATGTTATCATAAGGTGTTTAATTGCTTTATACATTACCTAAATTAGCTGAAGTCAATATGAAGTTTTATATTCTGTTGGTTCGATTTAACATTGAGTAAAATATCTGTATGTACCTATACGTCTTTAGAGCAATGTACAAAAGTACTTCCAGAACGATTCATCTATGATTTCTTTATATCAATATTTTTCACATAACTCTTAAAGGCGTAAATTTTGTTCTCAGTATTTTTTCAATAACATTTGTAAGCATTTTATTAAACCAAGATTCCTCTGATTCGTTACGTTTGATACAGTAAGCTTCCTTCGGAAACTATATAGAGTCTAACAAGGATTTCCAGTTATGTTTAACAATCGAAAGTTGTTAAACAAAACAAAGTCAAGTTGGGAATTATAGTATAATGATTATACTAAAGTATAATGATAAATATTAATTAATATTTATTTAAGGAAATTCCTCTGTCTCCTGAATATGATATATCAGTATAAAATACACTAGTGTTGTTTTACCAGGTGTTTAAAATTTTTAAATGTATTAACTTATTTATAATTCCAAGGCATTTCTTCAATACGTCACGTTTCTGTTCATGGACACTGGTGTAAAACATTGCAGCTGTATTTAATGTTTCATAATTATATAGATAAATAACATCTGTATTTGAATTTTCTCACAAAAAGTTTTTATTTAACACTTATGGAATTTTCTCTAATAAAAGCTTTACTCGTTAGACAGTTGAAATATTTGAGGCTTACACAATTCGCACTTTCTTATCTTTTAATTTTTCGTAAAATAAAAACTTCTATGGTGAACTTACAAATATTTAATAAACACTGTTACTGTAGGTGTATTCCCTAAAGCCATGAACTGTATTAACCATAACCTGATGGTGCGGTATCGGAGGTGGAACTGTGTTGGCCATTTTGTGCTCCTTTTTCCACTTCATTCTCCGATTCTGGAACCAGATTTTGATCTGACGTTCACTCAAACAGAGGGCGTGTGCGATCTCTATTCTTCTGCGTCGAGTCAAATAACGATTAAAATGAAACTCTTTCTCCAACTCCAAAGTTTGATAGCGAGTATAGGATGTTCTCTGGCGTTTGGTTTCGCCCATCGCATTTACCCCATCTATAAGAACATAAATATTCTCAAAATCATTCCATTAGTACTTCTCTACTTTTTTTTTTTTTTTTGTTTATTAATTAGCTTCTAAATATATAAAAATACATCGTGCTTTTAAACTAACATAAATGCGGAAAAAATGAAAAAAACATTAAAATGCACGCACTGAATAAATAACATTACATGCGTTTTAGAAGTATTAATAAATCGTGAATTTATACATTAGGCAATAAAATCTGTAGAAAATATTCCCTCCCTCTAGTGACGAATTTCTCACTATCTCTAACGCAGCAACTCTTGCTTACTGAGCTCTGCACTCCACATTTCCTGCGAGGTTTTATAGCGCCATAAAACTGTCTAACGCTCTTTTCAGCTGGGCTGAGCATTCTAAAGCTCGTTCGCTTTTATGGCTTGGATCTCGTTCAATGTAAGCTGAGCGCTTTGCTTTGGGTCAAGAAAGTGACAAAATTATGGCTTTGCGGAAAGTTTTATAGGACTAACGTGGCGCGTTTTATGGGTAAAGGGAGGAGAAAGCTGGCTTGACAGCACATGGCCGTGGAATATTTACTGCAGTCCTGTACGTTGAAAAGTAGCTGCAGAGCTCCTGGATGCTCACATCCTGCCTTCACCGAGAGCTGCAGAATCACGAGGGAGAGAGAACTAGCCACCTGCTTGTAAGGAAGATTAGAATAAGATATTTTAATTCTGAAACGGATAGTCGAAAGTACTTACTCTGCCCGACGTGAGATTTCTTCATCCACGGATAAATGAGAGGCTGGTTTGAAGAGTCGTTCCCCTTCTGTTGGTTGCTCTGTGTTTGTTGAGTTGGTTGATTTTGAGCTGGTTGACTCGGTTGATTTTGTTGTGGTTGAGAACTATGCTGTTGCTGTTGTTGTCCTGGTGATTGAGACTGCTGGTGTCCACTTGCTGATTGCGGCTGAGCTTGCCGCGGAGGTTGTGGTGAGCTCCGCGGCTTAGGGCTGATAGAAGCCGGCTGCTGTGAACTGGAAGTCGTAGTTAGGTCCTGAGGTGATGCCGAACTGGGTTCTGCGTACTTGCAGCTCGGCACCGGTGTTACTGATGGTGTCGGACTTGGGCTGGGATTAGGGTGACTTAGACGCTGACTGCAACTATTATAATGCGTATGATCCCCATTCTGCAGGTGTGGAACTGTAGGTTGAGAATAAGGTCCATAGTGCTGGACAGGAGACGCTGGACCGCTATAACAACTGTTGTAAGCCGGCACCTGAGGGGTGTAGTAGTCCTGGGCCGGCGTCTCCTGCGTTCGCTGGCCGTAACACGGGGTTAGTGAGTTGACAAACTGATACGAGCTCATTTGCTCGCCGTGATTTGTGGTACAAAAATAATTTTGTCCAATATTCCACGCAATTTTGATGAATTATGGCGGTATTGCACTCCAGGAAACCTCTGACACACTTTTAATAGACCATTATTCCAAATATGGCACTCCCTACTACCCACGTGACTCTCAATAACCAATCCGAACCTTGCATAAGCTAAAGGTTAAGTACATTATCAAGGAGTGTAGCTTTTACTAAACCGTTTATAGTTTACAGGTTTTAATTATGGCACAACTGTTTTTTATCTTTCAAAGGGCCTCTGAAGTGTCTGAAAATTTATGTTTCAGGGGTCGTGTTAAGTAGGCTGGCACTCTAGTTCAAAACGAAAGCAAGACCCACAGCGTACTAGCGACTCTTTAAATACACCGAACTGAGGAAATGATTTATGTTAAAGCTACTGTTCAAGTTAGATAGATCAAAGGGACAGCTTCGTTCGTTTTTGAGATATATCTTAATTACTGGAAGTTATATAGATAGTGTCAGAGGTCTCTGTGTATTAGCGAAGAGCAGCTTGAACCACTGGGTAAAAAACTTACCAGTAGTAATTTTGACAGCACTCTCAGGAACTGAGATATCAGCCGAAGCTATAGTCAAAATGTTGTAAGCCTAAAACTGCAGGTTTTTTGGTCTTCTTTGATATAAACAACCACTTTGGATATCAGAGAAGATTCACCCTGCACGTGCAGTCGAGGAAGACTGTATACTACTAGAATCGTTGGTTTATAGACACTCTTTTCTCAGTCTTCGTGGTCACATGCGTGACTGGCAGTTTCTCTGTGTGCTGTGTGTGTATCTCTACAGGCACGGGCCTCACTCTGGCAGGGGCCGCGTGTTGCACGCCTGATAACGTGCTCCAAGTTTCCAAAGGCTAGGTTCGATATGCTTGGGGACTGCCAGTTCTCAGAGATCCAGCCTTTTCCTACTGCTCATTTTCTTTCGTGATCGATACCTTTCTGGGCGAATGAGACGCTTAGAACATTCTGAAACCCAGCAACCACATTATAATTTCTTCCCCCTCAATTAATATCTGCCAGCATTCTCCAACTATCTCTTCCCAGTCCTTTTCTCATTCGTCTTTAGGTCCCAGGAACGAGAGTATGAGAGATGTCCGGAATACGCATGATCAGGATCTAGCCCAAGTAGAAAAAATACCACGTTCAAATCTCCTGGCTCCGGCACACGTGACAGCCCAAATATGTGTGTTTAGAGTTCTATTCGAAGGTGGATTTGTACGATGGGAGCTTCTTCCACTCAGCACATGAATTATTTATTACAGTCCCACGTCAGAGACAACGGAACAGATGAGGTGACACAAGAGCCCCAGTCGAAGGTTTTCTGCCATTCGAGCACGACAGTAAACGACTTGCCCCTTTTCTTCCTTCTCCGCTCGCGGCGCCAACTGTACATGCTTCAGATTTACCCTTCTATACACAGTACGTATACATAACATTGGACCAGGGCATCAGCAAGAATAGCAAAGATTTAAATTAATATCATTTCTCTGTATTAACACATATATTAATAAAGTGATAGGTGAGGTTAACGCATGCAAGAATATTTCTACTTTCACACGAAATGTTTCCAAAGAAAGATTTGTGAATGCTATAATTAATCATACAAATCTTGATATGTTGACATTCTTTTCTTTTTTTTTCAAAACAGATTTACTCAGGTTACCACCAGGGGTGTTATCTGTCATAGCTTTATTTCCAATATGATTAACTGTTCGCTCAATCAGGAAATTCGCTTTAAATAAAAATCACTATATAGAAATCCCCAAGATTTATGGAAATAGTGTGTTTATTGGATTCCACTGCTCAGAGTCTGACAAAGAAAAATGTATATATTTAAATGTAATGTCTACCAGGTGTTATTAGACAGCAGAAATGGCTGTGTGTCAGCAAAATATTGTTTACCAACAGGTAATGTGTAAGTGTGTTTTTACAGTGTTCATTGTTTACCAACAGGTAATGTGTACGTGTGTTTTTTTTTAAGGTTCAAGCCCAAACAGTTGTGGTGAATGATTAGCAGACGAAAATTAATTAATTCGTGTTTTAGGTTTAATAAACAGTTAAAAATAAATGTCCAGTATTTGAATAATGAATAGGTGGTGAACCAGAGGCCTCTATTTATCTATCTTTCTGTGTTTAGAGTTGAGTAAAAATATTTAGAATAAAAGTTTCAAATACATGTGTGTTTGTGTGCCATTTTATATCTCAAACAATGAAGTTTTCTAGTGCATTAACACATTGAAGAAAGTTCAGTAATTACATCTGTCAGTTTTATTAATTTGGAAATATCTTTCTGTGAACATTTTGATTAACATTTTCTTATAATTCATATTAACATTCTTACTATATTAACTCATTTTGTGTGTATGTGAACACTACCCTGTATTTTGTATTAACATTCTTACTATATTAACTCATTTTGTGTGTGTGTGTGTGTATATGTGAACACTACCCTGTATTTTGTAATAACATTTTATTATTAACATAGCTTTACATTTTGTATCCCTGTCTCATTAGTATCCTGTGTTGTGTATTAGCAGCCTCATTTTTATCTTGTCTCAAACAATACGTACCTCATATAATTATTTCAAATATTTGTTATTTTATGTTGTACTTATATATGTACAATTCAAAATACTTACCTTCATTTATTTAAACTAATGTTTTCCACATTAGGCTCTTTACGTTCTCTAGATAAAATCTCAGAAACAATCAGTTAAGTGTACTGAATATTGAAGTTTCGTTAATCCTTTTTCTTACGGTAACTCTGACCTCACTTAACACAAAACTTGGACTGGACAGCTTCTTATTGTATAATTAATTCAGTTGGACATCACTTTCCATATATATTTGTTTTCATTCTTGCTCATGCTAAGCTATCCCAACGTTTCATTTCCTTACATTATTTTATAGATGTCTATTGCTTTATTCATTTCATTCAGTTATGATAACAAATATTTGGAGGATTTTATATCTGGTTTCACTTACAAAATGATCTATAGTTTCGTTTCCTAATATTGACTAAATAGGTAGTCCCTTCTTTTCTTTAAGGGGACGCCATTTTTCTGCGCCTGCGTTAAGGCACACGACGCCATAAGTTAATTTGAATGTAAACAAAGATGGCGACTAGTTTTTCGGGCTGACTCAAGAAAGTTTGTTTACTACTGAAAATAAAAGTGCTCTCGGGGTACACTTTGAAAACTAACGGCGTTCTATGTGTAAAGTCGATCATATTGAATTCGCCGAGGAAGCTTTAATTTGATTTGTAGTTTTTGTACACAGAAGCAAAGGACAAAACATACATATTTATATCTACTTTTTATATCATCGTTCAATTTGCAATTTAAGAGATTTAAAAATCGTGCTATTTTCATTGTTATAACTTTATCGCACAATATTTAAAAAAATATTAAAACCTTACTGCATAAGTATTAAAGAAATATTATTTTTTAAGTGAATTTGATAAGTTTTATTTTTTCTTAAGTCAAAGATTCGTGACTGAACGAATAAGATAATTTGAACATGTTCAAAACTTATGTATAATCTGTACAACTCATGAGTAAAGATAACCTATTCTGAAATTTGACTGAAGGCTCATTGTATTCTGCTAGAAATATGTGCTCAATACATGTGAGTGTATATTATAATGGCTGCTTTGAATTTACTGTGACACACACACACATATATAGATATATGAATAAAAATAGTTACACAAAAATGTGTGAAAATAAAAGAGCTATAAATAATATATTTTCAATATGATTATCTTCTTATTTGTCTATTATATAAATAATATATTTTCAATATGATTATCTTCTTATTTGTCTATTATA